TTTCAGATGGATGTTATGCCTGCTGATTGTCACAGAAGTGGTAGCTTCTGTACTGAGTTGCTTCTGGTAGTTCAGAGAGTCTTTCCTGGAGGCCCAAGTAGAGTCCATTTTTCAACCCTGAATGTTTTAAAGGACCAAAATTACTCATTCTCCTTCTATCCCTCCAACCATTTCCATTTGGCTTCCTCTTCTACATAAGATTTTCCTCATTGTTTAATTCTTCTCACATTTGCAACTGTCATTTATTGTTTTAATTTACTTCCATGGCCTAAATTACCTGTTACTCTTACGGATTACCAAACCTCTCTTACATCAACCTCTCCCCTACCTCAGGCCCCAGGATTTTGTTTTCACCTGGATACCTGCCAGTTTTTTAGACATTTTCTTCTCTCCCTTCCCCTGACTACCCAAACCAGGATCACATGACCTCCCTACATCTTTAACACCAATTTACTAGTCATCCTTGACTTTTCCTCCTCACATTTAGTGGCCAGGACCTTCAAAATGACTGTCTTCAGTGCCATCCCTCTATTACCACTTATATAGTTCAGACCCTGATTATTCTCTCCTGGAAAACTGCAGTAACCTAACCTGATATTTCCCAAAGTGTGGCATATTCACTGCTAGTGGTAGGTACACAGTGGTTTATGAGAATACAGTCTTTGCATGAAACTTTTGAGGACTCTTCTATGTAGTACATAGTAGTGGTATGGATTCAAGTTCTATTTGAACTTCGAAAAAATGTATTAGCTATGTTTATTTTAAAGCGCATTAGGAAAAAACACTAGCTTATCAAACCTTTGATTTCAAAATAGAATTGTGCAGGGTAAGAATAAAACAAATTTGAAAATAAATAGATTTTTAGAAAATGGTAGGCAGCATGTAAAAATGGCAAAAACCATCAAAAATGGTACACAAATGACTGAAATTTGGGAATCATCAGCTCAGTGAATCACTTTGCCAACACGTACTTAACTGAGCTACCAAATTAACTCTTCTTATATGCTACTCAGACCATAAAATATGTCTATTCAAAATCTCCAATGGCAGGGCCGACCCGTGGCTCACTTGGGAGAGTGTGGTGCTGATGACACCAAGGCCACGGGTTCGGATCCCTGTTTAGGGATGGCCGGTTGGCTCACTTCAAAGAGCATGGTGCTGACAACACCAAGTCAAGGGTTAGGATCCCCTTACCGGTCATCTTTAAAAAAAAAAAATCTCCAATGGCATCCCTGTCACCTACCAAATAAAACTCCCCAGCCTGATCTTAACGCACACCTGTCCTCTACTATCTAAATCTACCTTTATAGCTGTGTCCTTCTTATCTCTATGGCTTTACTTTGTTTCTCTTTAACTGAAATGTTCAACATCCACTATCCCTCAACCCAACTACACTCGTCAAAAATCCAATCTTTTAGAACCCAATGAAAATGAAGAAGCAAGTTTTAACATGTTTAAGTACCTACTACATGCCTTGTTCCGTGAGTCTTTCCTATCATACCCACTGCAATCCATCTCTTTCCCCTCTGAACTCCCACAACACTTAGTGGCACTCACCACACGGTAACTTTAGCTTTATGTATGTTCTCTATCCTACTAAATTCTGAGCAACTTGAAAGCAGGGATAGTGATCGTGCCTCCATGTTTATTTCTGTCCCCATCCTTGGGCCCTATACCATTTATTCAGCTGACACTTATTGGTTATCTTCTATAGAAGCTGAATAGATGAATCTGTACCTTAATCTCAAAGGCTATGTGGCAGGAAGAAATGGTATGGACAGAAAGAAACCCGAATTTGATATGAGACTTAAAGTTTTAGATTAGGGAAAACTTCTCTACCCAGCCATAACTGTTTATTATCATCATCATTATTATTTTTTTTTGGTAGCTGGCTGGTAAGGGGATTCGAATCCTTGGCCTTGGGGTTATAACACCACACTCTAATCAACTGAGCTAAACCAGCCATCCCTGCTATATCTGTTTAAATGAAAAGCAAGTTTTAAGTACATACTTGGTGGAGAAACTGAAGTACTAAGTGAACAACACTTAGGTGCTTAGACTAGTCCAACTGACAGCTACACTATTCAAATTGAACTATCTCTGCTGTGTAAAATGGAAAGGAGTTTTTGAAATGTTGATATTTAATTCCACATTATGAACCAGGAATGATTTTATTAGCAGAAATTTATTATAAAACAAATCATTACCCCATGTGCATGGTAATTTGACATACGAATGATTGGTGGTTTTCATTTTTCCAATAATTTTTCACTTGTCTTATGTCCCAGTAGACAAACAGTAGCAAGCCTCAAATATGTAAGAAAAGTTTAAAGAAAATGTACTTTGTACCTCACAAATATGTATAATCAACTATGCTTCAATTTAAAAAAAAGAAGAAAATGTAGGCTGGCCTGTTAGCTCAGTGGATTAGAGCACAGTGTTATAACACCAAGGTCAAGGGTTTGGATCCCCCTAACAGTGAGTGGCCAAATTTTTTTAAAAAAAGGAAAAAAAGAAAATGTAAAAAATTGTTGGGAATTCTATCCAATATGTATTTTTCTGTTATTTGAGATGATACAATTAGTCAATTTTAGCAGTAATATATATGGATCCACTGGGTGTCCTAAGGATGCACCATTTGAACCACTGGTAAAAGGGTAGAGGATATGTATTGGGAATCACTGCAATGATCTCTCAATCTTACTATTTCAAAGGAGGAGGACCTGGAGAGAGAATGGAAACATTCCAGGCAGGATGATTTAAGAACCTGGAGTAAGGAACTTAGATGATCTCATTCATCTTGAGGAGTAAGACTAGAATCCTTACTCTAAGGAACCTTCTACTAGTTTCACCATTCTGACAGACTCTGATCAGCTGAGTTTAAATGTCAAGAAAAAAATAGACACACACAAAAGTGGCTTAGATTATGTAAATCATAGAAGGGGAAGCCTAAGATAGCTGTTCCCCACATCACAACCCCAAGGCTCCCTCTTAGGGACAGCAGCAGCTTTGTCAATGACACAAATGCAGGGTGACATGAGGCTTCCAGCAGCTTAACATTTTAATTTGGGGTGGGGGTGGAAGAGAATACATAAGTTGCTTTGTGCTCCCCCCCATCCTAATGCCTTGTGGACCAGCGAGGCTGACCCAAATGGAATCCAGAACGAGTGGGGCGTTGGGTTCCCCGAGGAAAGGGGGCAGATCCAGAACAGAGCAGAAACGATGATAATTATCTGTATGAAAAAGTAAGGATACTCCAGGTGAGAAGGACTAGCATCAATCTAGATAGCAACTTGGGAGAAAGGAAGAGGTGGCAGCAGGAATGATAAAAGAGGACCAGACACTACAGCCTGAGACATTTGACTTCCTTTTAGGATTAGTAGGAAAGATACAAAGAAGCAGATTAGCATTGAGGATCAGGGATCCACAGCAAACAGAAGAAGTCCCCAACAACTCTTTTTGGTGCTGTTTACTACTTGGCTTGCTTCTGAGACAGCTCAATTTTCAGATTAATTTGGTATTTCCCATCTTGGGTGTTTCCCCTGAATTTTAATATCAGGACACAAATCAAATACACCCAGGAGGTCTGAATTTTGTTATGTGTTAGGGCCCACATCACTGGTTCTCTGGGCCTTATTTCCTTAGCTGTAAGGGTTCTATTAGCAGTGTCCCTTCTGAGAAGACTACATTTGAGAAACAAACAGAAAAATAACAGCATAATGAAGAGACTATGAATATCAAGTATAAAAATTACATGTAGATCAGGGTTCCACCACTCATCCAAAATTAAATGCCTCCCCAGCTTTTGCATAACAAGTAACCAGCACCAATGTTTGAAAGATAAGGGTAGAGATTCTAGTTTCCAAAGGACAAAACCAAAGCACACTACACACAGCCTGTACCCCCACCCACCAACAAGCCAAGATCCCCGCCCCACTCTGCTGTCAGATAGTTACATAGAAGTCATGTCATTGAGGGCGTGGTCCAGCTCCTCGCTAATGGCCTTGTACTTCAGTTTCTGGGCATAGAGCTCATCTGGACAGGCACAGGAACCACAGAGAGGAACGAGGGGACAGAGTGAAAGGTATCGGAAGCAGATGAAGAGAGGGAATCATTAGAAATTAAGAAAAGTGAGACAGACCGTGGGTCTAACACCACAGTTAGGAAAACATCTATCCTGGTAGCCAAGACTGGACATTTTTAGATCCACTGTCTCCTAGACTAGCTGCACTTCTTGATGCCTCTAAGGGATTGCAGCAAGGGTTGAGAACCTGGGCACAGTCCTGACTAGAAAATTCTATTTAGTAAGGCACTCAAGAGGATGCCACTCCCACCCAGTTAACCCAATTCCTAGCAATGATAACACTTACCAAAAAAAATAGTACACATCCACATTCAGACACTTCTTTTCTGCCTACCAAGTTTGACCACTGTTCATGGCCCCCTTGCTCCACAGGCTGCCTTCCCAAACTCTTCCAAAGAACGTCTTGCTACCAAGAGCACATCAAAGGAACAAATCAGAGTTCTCAAAGCAAAGGACGCTTTTCCCTTGTCAGGGTGGACACAGTTGCCAAATTGCAGGAACTGGAAATACTTAGAAAGCCCCTGGCATTGGTCAGCTCTGAGACATGGTTATTCAACAGCTTCATCTCTTGGAGAAGTGCCCTGAAACTTGAATGGTGAACAGGATTGCCAAAAGCAGCCATGGGGTACCATGCATCTTTGTTGCCTTCTGAAATCATGGCTTCCATTTCAACCCACAGACTAAAGATTTAAGACTGCTAAGTTGGAGGTAAGTACAGCCATTACCAGTCTCTTCAAAGGAAAGGAGGTAACGTCTTACCAAAGGGAAAGATTAAAAGTAAAAATCCAGTTCTAAGGTTTGACCACTTCGCCTAGCTGTGGCACTACCAACTCCCTTTGGTGTACAGGAAAAGAGGTTAATGGGCAAGGTCTTCCTCTACATTTGTTTACTTTAATCACTCTCCCAGGATCCATACCTTCCAAATCATCAATTGTCTTCTCCAACTTGGCTACTGATCTCTCAGCAAACTCAGCACGGGTCTCTGCCTGGGGGAAATATGAAACCAGTCAGAATCAGAGACAATGATAAAGAAGAGAAGGGTCTCTATTTCTTCCACCTTCTACTTCTAGACCTTTCAGAACCAAAGCCAACCAGTCTAAGTGCACATTAATGCCTTATGTACCTGTAAATGTTTTGGTCCTTCCCTTCAATCCCCTCAGCTCACCTCTTTGAGTTTATCAGTAAGAATCTTTATCTCTTCCTCATATTTGTCTTCTTTTTGAGAGTACTATAAGAGAAACAGAATAAAAATTTCAGAGTAGAAATTAGTCACACAATTTCTCCCTACATTTACTCTTACATTGAATATCCTCTTGGATTTAATATTCTGAATGGTCCAAGAATAAGAGCAAGGTCCAAGTCTAGATAACAGGTCCTTAAAATCCAAAAATCTACGTCTTTAGAGTCATGATACGCTCAAATTAGAATCCTCCAGGACCTTTATTTTTAAAATGGACCTAAGCTTTGATCTTATTCATATCAACCCAAAGAGGGTTTTTTCCTTTCTCCTGCTTAATGAGCAGTAGTGATACCCCAAGGCCACATGACTGAAACAGTCTCACAGGATGCTAAAGAGACGTCATCTGTCTTGATTGCTCATTAGGTCTCAGAACTGATTCTATCTGTTGTCCCCATCTGTCTGCCAAAAAGTCTAATTAGGGTCCCTGATTATTCCCTTTCAGCATAGCAGTAACAGATTGAGGAGTACATGATTCCAGGCACTTGAGACCATGAAGTTATTTTAACTAAAGCAATCACAGTGCACAGGAATTAGCATTAAACCCAGAATCTGGATAGAGGGTAGGTAGGTAAGAAGGGGACACTTATCACTAGATTACATAGGGAACAGATGTCTCCAGTCTTTCATCAAGGGCAGGGCAGGGCTGGGCCCAGGCCCCAAAGCCTGTCACTTTCACAAACCAGCCCCTACCTTCTCCGCCTGAGCCTCAAGAGACTTGAGGTTGTTGGTGACATTCTTCAGCTCCTCCTCCAGCTCAGAACACTTACTGTGAATATTACAAATACCACAGGAGAGGAAAGGGGAAGAGGAAGAGAATAAAAAAAGGGAGAGAGAGACACACAGATGTGAATTGAACCTATATGTAGAGAGTTGGAAGGCATACTGGGGAAGAGAAGCTCCCAGGTAACCTGTGCAAGCCATCAACAACCCTCCTCCCTCTACCATTGAACATGTCAGGGGCTAGACCCTCCTGGGCTCAGAATGTTTGGATACTAATAAAGGAATAGTTGAGAGAAATCACTACCAGGAACAAGTCATAACTGCTACCTGGAGTGCAGGTGGAAATGGATGCCAAACCCAAATAGGCCCCCAAGTCGCCCAAGGGAAGGAGAGACCCTGTGGAAAGGCAGTGAAGCAACTAGGAAAGAAGAGATGAAAGGTGCCACTTAAGTGGAAAAGAAAGGAGCATTCCATGAAGAGATGAGAAAGCACTCAACAAATCAACCAGTGGAGGGGGAGGTAGCTGCAAAACAAAAACAAAACCAAACAGAACCACATCATACATATAACCTCTCCGTGGATTTAATGGTTAGTACCTTTTCTTCAGCAGCACTCAGACACTTCAGGTTCTGGTCCATCAGTCTGATCTGCTCATCCATCTCTCGGCAACGGCTGTTAGTGATAGTCACGGGGATGGCACAAGCCAGGTTGTGGGGAGGGAGAAATGTCAAAAAGGAACACAGCAAGAAAACAAGCAGCAAAACGAAAAAAAAAAAGTTTAAAAAATGGGAAGAAAACACCACCATGGTCATGATATGTCATGTCTGGGAGAGGAGAATGCAAAGGAAGCACAAATATATGTGCATCAGCACTGACTTTGTTATACAAGGCCCAGAAGGTGCCAATGGGTGAGCAGTTAATATCTGCTCCTGCTTTAAAGTTCACCAGCAGACTGGCAGCAAAGTGGTAAAAACAGAGACTAGATCTTAAGTCAGTATAGCCATTTCAATGCCTCAAGGACAAATAGACCCCAGATGGAAGGACCCAGTAGGGTTTTCCAGTTAACTGTTCACCATCTATTAATCTTTATTTTCCCTTAATTTGTCAATTTTCTCAACAAAAAGTAAGGAAGCCTCATTATGACCTGTCAATAATCAAGTCAAGAGAGTAAGGAAGCCCAAAGATATTCTTAGTGCATAAAAAAGCACTGTAACTCCCACTCCCTAGGCCCTGTTTAACAAGGTTGAAGGAATGCTAGTTCATTCATATTAGTGACCAAGCCAAAGGGGAAGAGACAGAATGGTATGACAAGATTTGAGGAGCAAAATACTCACGACTCTGCCAGCTCAGCCCGTTCCTCTGTGCGTTCCAAGTCTCCTTCAATAATCACCAACTTACGAGCAACCTACAGAAAAAGATCCAGGCACAGCTCAGAGAAGCAAAGGAGCCACTTCCTTCATGAATTCTCTGCAGAAACCTGAAAGCACTGAAGAGCTGTAAGCAGAAGGCGACTTACCTCTTCATACTTCCTATCTGCCTCTTCTGCAATGTGCTTAGCTTCTTTGAGTTGGATTTCCTGTAGTTCCATCTTTTCTTCATCTTTTAAGGCCCGGTTTTCAATAACCTTCATACCTCTGCCAGAAACAGGACAAGAGTGGCACTGAGTTTGTCATCAGCTCCATTCCAAGGGACCTTAAATTACAGCCCATTCCTCTCTGTTTGCCACTCAAATGAAAATCATATAGCACCATTCTCACACCTTAGTTTAGCTGCTTCACTTGAAACTTTTTTTCTTACAAAAATAATACATGCTTATTAAGAAATTAAATACTTAAGTTATAGTCTGAGGGTAAAACAAAAAGTCTCCCTTCCCACTTCTAGTCCTGATCATCAGATGTAATCTCTTCCTTAATAACCCTTCCAGAAATGTTTTATATAGATACATGCAATAAAGATACTAAAGAGTAAGATAAAAATAAAAATAAATATTTTAAAAAGGAAGATATATGTAATAACTCCCATCCCAACTTCCCCAAAGGAATCATATACTATACTGTTTTGCAACTTATTTTCCTCACTTTCCATAATTTGGACGCTATTCTGTACTTGGCTGTCTCATTCACTTTCACAGCTACACTGTTTTAATGTATCCCAGCAGGGCATTTTTTAATTCTGAAAAGCCTTAGTTCAATCCCACGCAAATCATCACGCACCTCTATTCTAGTTTAACTCACATGTGGCAAAGAGCCCAGTGGCTATTTTCACAAAAATGACTTGGATTTGGTTCACAGGCCACAGTTCTCAACACTAGCCATATATTAAAATTAGGTGAGAGGGGCCGGCCCGGTGGCGCACTGCTGCAGTGCGCCGCTTAGGAAGCGCGGCGGCGCTCCCACCGAGGGTTCGGATCCCACATGCAGACCGGCCGCTCACTGGCTGAGCGAGGAGCGGGGGCAACACCGAGGGTTGCGATCCCGTTGCCGGTCCCGGTCCGGTACGGGCGCGACACTGAGGGTTGCGATCCGTTGCCGGTCACGAAAAAAAAAAGACAAAAAAATAAAATAAAATAAAATTAGGTGAGAAACTTTAAAAACAGCAATGCCCAGGCCCCTCTTTCAACTGACTCTAATTGAAATGGGGTGGGATCCAAGCATCCACTTATTTTTAAACTCCCCAGTGAACCCCCATCCCCATAATTCTAATAATGCAGCCAGGGTTGAGAGGGCTTATAAAAACTCAGATTGCTGGGCTCCACCTCCAGAGTTTCTGATTTAGTAGATCAGGGGTAGGAGCTGAGAATTTGAATTTCTACCAAGATCCCAGGTACTGCTGACACACTGCTGGTCTGGGAACTCAATTTGAGAACCTCTGCTTTAGGGTGACTAATCTCACAAATGGAAGTTTATGATCCACAAAGTGGAAGCCATATTGGTGAACTCGTTTTAAAGATCATTAGATCAATTTATAGAGAAATACAAATTACAAAAGGGTCACAGCATCAAGCAACCCTTATTCTCTCTGTCTTCAAGGGGAGAGAATATGCAGGACAGAAGGAAAGAAGATCCTGTAAGATACAGATTATTATTTTTAAAAACAAGTGTATAGGGCCGGCCCGTGGCTCACTTGGGAGAGTGTGGTGCTGATAACGCCAAGGCCACGGGTTCGGATCCCTATATGAGGATGGCCAGTTAGCTCACATGGGAGAGCGTGGTGCTGACAACACCAAGTCAAGGGTTAAGATCCCCTTACCGGTCATCTTTAAAAAAAAAAAAACAAAAAACAGGTGTATAAAGAAATCTTGATCAGAGCCATTCTGAACATCTTTTGAAATCTATACTGCATCATGATCACCCTTACACACCTCTCACTCTCATCAGCAGCTTTTTCCGCTTCCTCCAGCTTTTGCAGGGCAGTGGCCAGGCGCTCCTGAGCGCGGTCCAGCTCCTCTTCAACCAGCTGGATCCTACGGTTCAAGGATGCCACCTCAGCCTCAGCCTGCATTTGAAGGAAAGAACAGAAAGAGAAGCAGAGGCATGGTGAAAAGAACTAACTACCACATAAGTTGGGGTTGACTACTGCTAAGAGACCAAGGTAGAATTTGTCTTAGCTCAGATACTAAAAGATCTAGCAGACATGATTTTATATATATATATAAAAAGAAAGAAAGTTGCTGAGGGTGAGACACACTTCCAAGCCAGAGCTCAGTCAGAAGGAACCCTTCACTGGCCACCTTTTCTGACTCAGGAATTTGAACTGAGTCCAGAAAGGGGGTGGTACTATCACTGAGCCAGGCAAGGAACTGAGTTTTAAAACACTTCCTATAGAACATACGGGAGTTTGTTGATGGGAAAGGGGGGAGAATATATATATATATATCTATATATATATATATCTATATATAGATATATATATATATCTATATATATAGATATATATATATATTATATTATATTTTTATAATACAAATCTATATATAATCTATTATATCTATACCTATTCCCCATTCCTTCAACTTGCCCCCTTACCCCTTTTTAAAGTTGACAGTGAAGAGCTGCTTCTGGCTGATGTTATCTGCTTTGATGACATTAGGAAAAAAAAAACTGTGGGCAGGGCCGACTCTGTGGCTCACTCGGGAGAGTGCGGCCTGGGAGCGCAGCGATGCTGGGAACGCCGAGGCCGCAGGTTCGGATCCTATATAGGGATGGCTGGTGCGCTCACTGGCTGAGCCCAGTGTGGGCGACACCAAGCCAAGGGTTACGATCCCCTTACCAGTCACACAAAAAAAAACAAAAAAAACTGTGGGCAGAAGATAACATGTCTACCCTGCCTACCACCACTCCTCCAAATTTCTGGATCGTCTTCTTTCCTTTCCTCTAGTCATCCTCCTAGCTTCACCCTCCTATAAAGCTTATGAAAGTCCTCTTCCTGGCCTCCACGCTGCAATAAAGTACAGGCTAGAACCAAAGTAAACCCATGCTGCTTGCCTGGCAATGGAATAAGAAATGAAGGAAAGGAGGGAACAACCTGCACATGGATAAATTCTTTTTTGTTTTGTTTTGTTTTTTGGTGGCTGGCAGGTATAGGGATCTGAACCCTTGACCCTGTTATGGATAAATTCTAATGGCAGAAAAGCCTCCTTCCTATGACTGCCTTCTCCCCCGCCCCTCACCTTTACTGGTGGTAGTATGCTGACTGCCACAACCATATAAGAATTTAATCTGTCTTGCACACCATCCAGTTCAGATGCTTATCCAAGTGCCTGGTAAACACGATCTCTCTTCTACAGCCCAGATTGCACCTGAATTCTATTACCCTGATTTCCTCCTGGCAGGCATGGGTGGGGGCAGCTACAGAAATAATCTGGGCCACCAGCCCCTATGGGGAGGGATATAGCCCAAAAGACTCTTGTTAACAATCATGACTGGCACAAAAACTTCCACATACAAACATGGGAGGTTCAAGGGTCTGGGAAGGGGAGTGGGGGACTGGGTCTATAATGTACCCATCAGACTACACAAAAAGAAAATCTAGAAGTACACATAGGCTGAAATAACTAAGAAACCATTTGTATCTCTACCTGTTCTATTCAAAACACCACAAAGACAAGTAATCTCTAGTTTTGTCTCTTCTAGGAAAACGGATGTCCCCTAGGACAACACATATTTATCCTCACAAATCAAACAAGGCCAGTCAGTCAACAGCAAGTCAGGCTATCAGGCAAGAACTATGAAACACTGCCAGTACGATTTACTAACCCCCTTCAGATGCCTAGAACTCAAAAAAAAAAAAAAAAAAAAAAAAAAAGGAACTAGATGTGAAGGAAACTCATGACATGTAAGTCCTCATCCAGCTCACCAGTAGTTATCCAAGCTGGAATAGAAGATAACAGGCTATGGGGGTGGGAGTATACAGTTTCCATGACAACAAGCTGGCTCAGGCAGTTTCTCCCACAAATCAGGATTTTCAATAGAATTCTTCACAAGGCTGAAAAGGGAGGAGGTGAAAACACATCTTGGTGCCCTCACAAGAGCAAGCGCACATGAACAAGCCTGTGTCCAAAGCAGAACACAAGACAGGAGTCCCAGCAAAAGCTTCAGAGACCAGAGTGCACTGAGACTGTTCTCTTTTCTCTCCTCCCACAGAGGATCAGTTCTCTTTACAATGAAACAACAGCCTGCAGAATCAAGATCTGATACTCTATTTAAAGGAATATCCAAGGATGACAACCTGGCTTTTCCTTCAAACCAGAGCCTATGCACATGCCTTTCCCTTCAGGTCAATAACATAGTACCAAGAAATTGAACAGGGCTACTTTCTGCAGACCAGACCACCCATGATGCTGAGAAACATTAAGCTCTGTTCTTTTCTAATCATCCTAGGTTTTAGCATGCCTACCCTGATGTGGTTTTGGTTTTTCAGGCTACCCACCTCTGCCCAGCTTGGAAGACATACGTACTCTGAGGTCCTTCCCTTCAGGTAATAGGATTCTCCACTGCCCAGGAGGCAAAGATCTTGGGGAGCAGGAGTGGAATGCAGAAGCAGTTTAGTCACATTAGAAGATGATTGACGGGCCGGCCCGTGGCTCACTCGGGAGAGTGTGGTGCTGATAACACCAAGGCCACGGGTTCGGATCCCATATAGGGATGGCCGGTTAGCTCACTGGGTGAGCATGGTGCTGACAACACCAAGTCAAGGGTTAAGATCCCCTTACCGGTCATCTTTAAAAAAAAAAAAAAAAGAAGATGATTGACAACAGCTTCAGCTATGACATGAACGTGGTTTAAATGCTACTGTCTTTCACTCCAGAGAGTCCCCAAGTGAATGGGCCGGCCCGGTGGCGCACTGGATAGTGCGCCGCTTGGGAAGCGCGGCAGCGCTCCCGCCCGAGGGCTCGGATCCCACATACAGACCGGCTCCCGCTCACTGGCTGAGCGAGGCGCGGGAGCAACACCGAGGCTTGCGATCCCGTTGCCGGTCCCCGGTCCGGTACGGGGGCAACACTGAGGGTTGCGATCCGTTGCCGGACACGGACAAAAGACAAAAAAAAAAAAAAAAAGAAGATGATTGACAACAGCTTCAGCTATGACATGAACTTGGTTTAAATGCTACTGTCTTTCACTCCAGAGAGTCCCCAAGTATGCCACACCCCTCAAAGCAAGAAACTGACAGGGCACTGGTGCACAGAGAGAGAACAGGGCCAAGAACAGAAGGGGATTAACCTACATCTGGCATTCTGCCACACCGGGGTTTCTCTTTTTAGATAAAAGCCACAGATGAAACTCAAAGCACAAAGAACACTAGAAAAGTAAGGCTTGAGTCCTGTGAGTAAAGGAGTTCACTGTGTTCACAAATGCTTCTACCTTTGGAGATACCACGTCCTTGGTGAATTTAAATTTCACCAAGAGGGAGGGAGGCAAGTTAGAAGGAAGGGAGCAGAGCTATCTGCTTCAGAGTAAACAAAGGTGGAGCCTAAGTGGAGGCACTCAGAGCAAAGGGCTATTTGCCTCTCCCATATGAGAGTGTGCTCAGGAAAGAGAAAGGTAAGCAGCAGGAAAGCAAATCTAAAGCAAAGAAAGGTGATAAAGTCTGTTGTTTAGTCCACCATACCCTACAAATAGGAGGGAACTACACAATAGACATTCTAATAACCCCCTCCAGAAACTAGGAATTTGGGATTAAGGCCAGAATCAAAACTGCTGTTCAAAGCCCACATTCCCTCAATAGTGCTCCTAAGTTTTTTGGACCAGAAAAAAATAAAAGAGAAAATTACCAGGGAAAATTAGGAGAGAGGTGTTAAAAACAGGTAAGGTGAACTGTACACTTAAAAATGGTTACAAAGGTAAATTTTATGTCACATATATTTTTACCATCACCACCGTCACCACAACAAAAAAATGGATAAGGAAAAAGACTGCATTCAAATATTATGTTGCCATCTGTATTTACATTTAGCCTGAACTACAAAGGAAACTTAAAACTGAAAGTGGATTTGACAAGGTGCTAAGTTATAAAAACAAAGGTCAATCTCCAGGCCAAGAGCAGAAGAGAAAGAGGGATCCCACAACAACTCCAGTGTGTAGGGTTTGGACTCATCCAACTTCCTAACAAGGGTGACTTAGACGTTCACAAAGAAACCAGGAAATAATCAAATGACAATCCTACTAACAGCATGCGATACCATCAGGGAGTACTGAGCTTCTAGCTTGAGAGGACAACAGGTATGTCCTAAAAGGATAACAAGCACCCCCTTGCTTCCCAAAGGTGTCTCCTCAGTAGGGATTCAAAGTTCACTAGAGCAGAAAGTCAAAAGATTAGGCTTCTTCAAGCTGGGGAGAAGATACTAATTTCATCAATATTTAAATATCATCCTACTTCCCCATTCTGAGGACTTCCTCACTAGACCTTAGCTAAATATGCAAATTTGGCAGGCTCTGCCTGAGTAAGTAGCTTAAGAAACATCTGAGGGGCTGGCCTGTGGCTCACTCGGGAGAGTGTGGTGCTGATAACACCAAGGCCACGGGTTCGGATCCCATATAGGGACGGCCGGTTGCTCACTGGGTGAGCATGGTGTTGACAACACCAAGTCAAGGGTTAAGATCCCCTTACCGGTCATCTTTAAAAAAAAAAGAAAGAAAGAAACATCTGAAACTGCTCATGCTGCAGCCTATCAGCCCAGTCCCCAAGGGTGAAAGAAGCCAAATTTTCCTACAAGGAAAGTGACCAAATTCTGGCGGAGGAGGTACATCATCCACCCTAGAACTACTCCTAGGATGTCCATATTTAAATGTTGAGCCTAAGACTGCAGCTCAACACATGACCAGTTCCTTTGGCCATCTGTCTTCCCCTTTAAGGCTATCTGGTCTCTAGATAAAGGACATAAGAAGTGTCACTAGTCATAAAGAGTCAGCCAGCCAGTCCACCTCAGTTGAATTGATAATTAGAAGTTGCTGGCATAGGGCCGGCCTGGTGGCGCACTGCTACAGTGCGCCGCTTGA